GTCATTGGGAGGTAAAGTACAGCAGAGGGAATATAGTCAGTGCTATTGTAATAACCATGTATGGTGTCAGACGGGTACTAGATTTATTGGGGGGATCACTGTGTAAGATATATAAATGTCTTCTATGTTGTACACCTGAAACTAATATCGTATGTCAACTATAATAGAAAAATTTTAAAAAGTTATTTAAAAAAAGATTGGTTGGTTGGTTTCTATTTATTTTTCTCTTACGGTAGCTAATCATTTCATGTCGCTATATTAGGCACTCATTTTTTTTTTCAAAGTTTTTCAAAAATGATTCTCTGTATTTAATTGAGACTCAAACAAGGAGGCAGTATAGCAAAACGGGGGGAACCTGGTACAGGTGAGGAGCGTGGCCCTGCAGTGGAGCAGAAGCAGTTTGTCTACAGTCATTGCCAAGTCTGTGGAAAAAGATCACACAGGAATGCAAATGCAGTGACAGGAGCCTTCCAAGTTTTCTTCTGATTGCTTCTCCTCGGAGAAAAGAACAGAGGTTATCGGCTGAAAGTGATGACGGGGAGGCGTCCTAACGGGTTCGAGGAAAGACACGAGGGAGTGAAACGGCATCAGGAGAGCAGGAGAGACTTCACGCCTGACTGCAGGGCGGCAGAAGGGCCCCTTCTGTGACCGTGAATTTAAAGTGAGACCACCAGCACGGCTGCCTGGAGCAGGGTGGGCGAAGGCACCGACGGGGGCCGGGTTTCATCAGGGCGTGGGCGGCAAAAGGAAGAGGGGAAAGAGGAGCAGGAAGGCTGAGGACGATCGTCCCGATGCTAAAACCGCACTCCCTGTGACACACACGGGGCCTCGTCCCCTTCCCGCTTGCTTTATACTCCATCGCAGTACATATTTAATTTCTCTTATTTACTGTCTCTGTGTCCCCTGCTATGAAATCTCCTTCAAGGCAGGGATCTCTGATTTGTTCACTGCTATTGTCTTTTAAAAAGTACGATTCCTTACTGGATAGCAGCAAAGCAGTTACTACTGGATCTGTGCTCCCTACTCCCCACCACCGCCCTGTGGTTTAATAATGAGAAGTGACTGGCTGCTCTATTACCTAGCAGCTATTTTTAAAGGGCTAAGTGATTTGGATATAATTTTGATCTTTAAAACTTGAACTATTAATTTCTTATTCTTATTATAATAAAGAGATCTTAAGGTGGTGGAGGTTTCTCTAAAATTTTCTTAAGTAGAAGAGAGTAATAAAAAATAGAAAGTGATGAGCAATGAGATTGGAACACATGCAAAGGCCAGATCAGAAAAACTCGGATGGGAAGGATGGGAGCGTGGAATGAATTAACAAGATTCATATCACAAAGTTATCTCTGGCACTGTGTGGAAAATGGCTTAGAGGGGAAACGGATGGGAAAGCTGTTGCAGTGATGCAGGTAAGTGGTAAGGGAGGCCTGATCAGGGTGGGGTGGGGAGGGCAAGGCAGGTGGATCTGATGACGCTGAGGAGGTGGAGCAGGCGGGCTCTGTGATGGACTGTGGAGGCTCAGGGAAGCAGGCGGACGGAGAGGAGCCAGGGCAGCCTGTGGACCACGTCCAGGTTGTTTTTTTCAAGGCCCCGACTAATGGAAACCACAAGGCTGCAGCCATAGTATCTGAATGTTAGCTAAAAATACCTCTCCAAAAACCCGAAGAAAAACAATTTCCAGTGTTTGAAAGAATTCAGCTAAGAAATTGTCATGACAGCTGTAGTACGGATGAGATTTTTTGACACAGGACTCACTCCAGTAAATGCCTTTAAATCAGTCATACATGGGTAGTACCTACTCTATTTGCTCGTAAAACTGGCACTGCATCTCAGATTTCTGGCTAAAGGGACTCTTCATGGCTCAGCACTGCCGGCCAGCAAACTCTTTTCAAAATCGCATTTCAATAACTCTCAGGATAAATCACCAATACACATTTATGGAATACTTACCAAGTGCCCAACACTATGCTATGTGGACTGTATGTTTACATAAATATTCGTGCTCATATATTCATATTAATTCAACAAGTATTATGTGCCAAGGACCACGGATAGATTGGTGCCTGCAGACGTGCATGCACGTTCACGGAGGTCTGTAATACATGACCAGTGTGTTCTCTACATTTTAGAACAGGAGCTGAAACACAAGTTCAAACATGATTGGATAAATAATCCTAGCTACATTGTTTTGTGTATTATTTTGTCCACTGAAAGCATGATCTTGATTATGAGAAGTATTGATTTTTAAGAATTATTTCACTCAGTCGTAGTGCCTATATCCTGGACTATGTATTCCTTCATCATCAACAGTTCACATAATAATTATTAGAATGAACAGCACTTTTAAACATTTGTAAGATGAGAAACACGTTTCACTCTACGGCAGTGCTGTAATGTTTCTTAGGAATTCAAGTTTCTTAGTGATGCAGTCTCTTAAATAGTGGGGGGGCACATTATACTTGATCACGTTTCACAAGTTCAAATGCATTTCAAAACCTAAAATTCTGCAGAGAGGGTCAAAATTGGAGGTTAGTCTAGAAAAGAAACAGTAATTGAGAAATTCACTAGCCTTCATTCATTCATTCATTCATTCAACAAATATGCTCTTGAGTATCTACTTGGACCGAACCCTCTTTTAGGGTCTAAGGATAGAGTGGAAAACATAAGAGAGAAGTTCTTTATGGAGCCGATAGTGATAAATGCTATGAGAAACAAATGTGGACAATGGAACGGAGTAACTTCTTAAGGGCAGGGCTTTGTCTTAGTTGTCTATGTGCTTCTAGCACCTAGCAGAATGCTTCGAAGAGTGGTTGCTCACGTTTGTTATATAAATTACAGTGAGTTTTTAGGCATCTGCTTTCGTTTCTGGAAGAACTCGTATAAGTCTGCAAACTCAAGTATTAGGCACTTTACATGCCAAGGTGTAATTCTGAGCTTAAGAGAGTGAAGGGATAGGGAGCCAAGATGCTAACGACCTCGCAGAATAATTAAAGGTGTATTAAAACCCTGATTCCAAGCAAATTTGGAGAGTTTCAGTTAAGTTTACAAATATAATAAAGCAAGTGTATAAAATATTAGTGAGCTTCTATTATTGCAGAATATATATAATTTTAAAAATCGATGTTATTTTTAATACAAAGATAATATAAAACAAAACACATTTATTCATTACTTTTTTCCCCTGGAAACTATGGAAAACTCCAATGTCATGGGACATAGTGCCTTTCTATTAAACTCGATGCAAAGTATCTGCCAAGTGAGATAGCTTTCTCTGAGTAGATTTGTAGTTTCTAGTTGTTGAAGCATACTGACTGACAGAATAGCTATGCTAGAAAATGGGGCATTAAATCTTTAAAGGACACCCTCAGCATGGGCAGACATCCCAAGCAAGAAGTACACTTATAAATTCTGCCACAATTTTCGAGATGTTTTTAACCGACACTTTTTTGTCTCCCATTTCAACACTGTGATACAAATAAATCAAAATTAGGCATTTCTGGTCCTTTAGAATAACATGCCCTCATATCCCAGGTCTAGGATGCTACACTATTAGTTGCATCAAGTTACAATGCAGTTGTTTTCAAATGTCGTCTTGACTCAGTTTTGAGGCCCTAGCTAGAGACCAGTCAGCTTCCCCTCTTGAGCAGCTGATTAAAAAGTTGCATGCCAACCACTCCCCTTACTGGGCTCTCACCCTCTGGGCCACCATGCATCTGCCTTAACTGCCCCAAGGTCAGTTCTCAGACAACCAGGGACAGTCTGCAGGCTCCTAGCTCATTATAATTATTCAAATGAGCCAATCCCAAACTATTTACTTTGCCCATTCCTTCCAGTGGAAACCACAATAAAGGTGCTTGTCTCCTGCCGCTCCCCCCATCCCCCCACTCCCTTACCCATCCCTCTGCCTGTGACTGACCCCAGGTGGTGTGCTGGGCTCATCCATGGGAACTCTAAGTATAGAAACTGTAAAACTCCAGTTTCTGTCTCGATCTGCAAATGGCTTCACTATACCTCACTCAAGGTGATATGGTTAAAACACAAGGGGATCAGCGTATTTCTTTTAGTCAAGAAATAATACTAAGACCAATGCTAATGTTTCAAAATTGGGCGTAACATGTTCTATAATAAGTGCACCATTGATTCTCATGGCCCATGCGACTCCTGCAACAGTTCTAATTTATTTATTTAATAGCTGACAGTCCAACTTCCAGGATGCTGTAATGACCACAGACACACGTAAACTCTGTATACCAAAGTTACCCAAAACCTAGTGTTCACCAAAATATATTCTTATCAGTAGCTGTGATGAATGAGGTGAGATATTTTTAAAAAGTATGTTTGGACCCAGTAAAGGCATATTAGGTTTTTCAGATTAATCAATCCATTAAAAACCCCACAGTATTTTGAAAGCATTGTAGAGATGAAAATAAAGGAAAAAGTGTCAAGGCAATTTTTGAGCAAAAGCTCATGATGAGAAAAATAAACAGAATACTGGAGCAGCAATGTTTCCTGTGCCCTGGAAAGAAGCTCCAGTGCCCCGCCTGTAGAACACGTGAGCTGCTCACAGCACTTTGCTCTAAGTCCTTGACAGCATCCCATGTCACCCAGCATAAAAACTCAGGGTCTGCTGAGCAAGGTCAGCAAACCCTTTCTTAAAGGGCCAGACAGCAAATCTTTCCGGCTTTGCAGGCCAGACTCCTGTCACAGTTCTGCGACATTATGCTAGACCTATATGCGAACAGGGTTAAGATTCTAAACGGCCACGTCCAATGAAAATCATTATATTTTGTGGAATATGCATAAAATTGACAAAAATATATAATATTAGTTTGGGTTTATAATGCTTAATATTTCTTAGTCATTCAAGAAATATTTGCTGAATAAAAAACATATGTACAAGGTCTGGAATTACACATTTTTACAAAAAGATTATGGCACAGACCGCAAACCAAAGGTAAAATCATTTCTTTCGTAAAATGTATCAGTAACAGCGGACTTACTTTAGATTGCCGATTCTGATTTCTGCACTTTCACTGAGTTTCTTCGTTTCTTCTTTCCACCTGTTAGCTGCCTTCTGCTGAGTCGCTAACAGATGCCTCAGTTCAACGGTGGCGTTTCGGTTACTGTCCTCCATCTCTCTCAGCTGAACCTCAAACCCATGCTCCTTTACTGAAAATGCGTGTTCCATTGTACTGATCTAGGGAATAAAATGAACACATACCTTCTTTTTCTTTTCCGCTATTCTAAGATCAATCAAAAAGGGATCATTCATTGTATTGTTTGCAGCACAAATGTTTAGATATCTATATAAAAATTAAGTTTACAATTTGTTTTCAACACAAATGAAGACATCCTGTCTCACAGTATAAATGTATAAATGAAACCGGAATTATGACGAACTACAATTTTTTGCAACACATTCCCCAATACCTTAAAATGCCATTAAAAAAAAAAAAGTATACTATCTACTATAAAACTGCTCTCCTATTTACTTTTACTTTTGTTGCTATAATCCCTGGAAAACGTTTATGTTCTCAGTAACTGAGAGTTAGGTTTCTGCTCAAGTCATTTTGAAAAATGTTTACTGGTATATTATAAAGGATACAACCCAGGATCAGCCAAACGGAAGAGACGTAGGGCAGGGTGTGGGCTGTGGGCTGTGGGCTGTGGGGAGTGCAGGGCGCCACGCCTGCTCCAAGTGCACCAGCCTACCAGCACCTTGGCCTGTGCACCCACTCAGGAACTCCTCAAGTCACTTGGTTAGTATACCGAACTTCAGACTGTCTTTCAAAGGGTTTTATAAAGAAAGTCAAAGAATATTATATATAGGAATTCCTTCCCATTTCAGTTACAGTATAAATGCTGTATTTTTTTCTTTTCAGGAGAAGAAAACTATAATAATGATTTTTCAGAACCTCATATGGAAATGTCTTTAGTATATCTCTAGGTAATGTATGTTATTATAGTAGAAATACCTTAATGCAGAATGAAAATACAAGTAAATGCTCTCTGGATACCCTAGAAGCTTTCTTGAGTGGGATCCAGGGAGAAAATTAAGTCCTAATGCCCTAAGGTATGTAATGAATTGCCTTCCTTTATGTGCATCTAGAATGAAACTACCTATTAGCCTCCTTGAGGCAACTGAGAAAATAGTTACTAGAATAACTTTTTGGTGTGCTCTCAGGCTATCTTTATCTTGCTACACTAAAGAAATATTATAAAGAATACCTTCCTTGTGATATTTTCAAGTTATGTGCTTTAAAAATGTTCACAGCCGGCATGGCTTTTAGTAATTCAGTAATTTAGTAAATATGGCTATTTCAAAACTCAAAAAAAAGAATAAGTAAGGGACCCAACTTTACCAATACAAAAGACACTCCAGAAAATCCAGCAATAGCCAAAATCCATGGTTCATGGGGAAAAACAGCGAATCTTTACCCTTGTTCCCCCTGCTAAAAGCAGCATGCTTCCTAATGCTCTTAAATTTGCTCTCTCAAGTAACACACAAGTAGAAATTTAGTACTTTATAAATACTGGCACTGGAAAAACAACACTGATTTCTTGATTTTGTATTGCATTACTGTTAGGCGAACCTCCCGCAGCCCCTTGATTCCTGCTATTTTAATAATTTCTGCATTATGAGGTTCTGCAAATCTTGATTTGCACATGCTCCTCCTTCCTTGCCTCAATCTCCACTTTCTCTTGAGAGGCCATGGTTCTGATATGTTAGTTGGAATTGTCTATTTCTGTTTCTCTCACACATATACTAAAAAATGATCTATGCATCTACATAGCTTTAGAATTCTGCCTACCTAGTTAACTCCCCATTGCCACTTGGAAAATGTATTTGTAATGTGACAAGCCTTGTTCTATAGTCCTTCATAACCTAGTCTCTGCCTACTTCTTTATTTCTGCCATAATGCTTTCTCATTTGGGGGTTATTTTCACATGTTGTTCCCTTTGCTTGGGATAATCTTTCCTCTTCTGCTTACCTTAGTTATTTTTATTCCATTTTTAGAACTAAGCTCAATTATTGCTTCTACAGAGTAATTTTCTCCCTATCTATCTAGACAGAGTCAAGTCCTTCTGTTAGAAGCTCTTACTCTGCTTTCCCTAAAAAGCTTTTATTAGTTTGCAAACATGTTTAAAGTTTGCCCATCTAATAAATTTTTAAGGGTGGGTGTCATGTCTTTTTTGTTTACTATTGCATCTTTAGAACCTGAAACATAGTAAGCTCGTCAAAACACATCTGTAAACTGAATAAATGATGGCCTTTTTTGGGGGGCATTAAAATTTAGTCCTTAAAATTTACTCCTAGATTCTTCAGCTGATGCCATTACGACTGTTAAACTGGATAGGTCTGCCCTGATGCTGGAAGGCGAAGGGCCACAACGACTGGTCTCCTACAACAGAAGTCTCACTGATGTTAAAATTCAGAGTGCTGGGTAGGAGAAGGGATTTAGTCTCCCTCCCTTCTTCCTCTGTGCCCTTCCTCTAAAGAGAACTACTCACACAGGTATATACAATTGCTAAAAATTATCCATTTCCTAATTTTACACACTTATGAGGGATACTTAGTTCAAAGAAATGGAGAGCCTTAGCAGAAAGAAAGGAGGAGTTAGGAAAAGGGAAGGCTAGAACTGAAAGAAATGCAGTGGATTTAAGGTCAAGTGAAAGCTTCATATAATAAGTTGTTAAGGTTCCCAGCCAACCAACTTCTCAGTATCCCACTGTCTTGATCCTTTGGGCTCCTTTAAGTTTATCTACGGAAGATCATTCTTTTTCAAGGGCGAGAAAGGCAGCTAAGCGTAGTACTAGGCTCCTATGTTGTTGAAGAAAGAATCAGCAATAAAGCCGTTTCCCTGAGAGCCCTCCTCCTCCATAAAACAGAATGACAGCTAGTTAAGAGGTTACTACTACTCAGCAATACTGTTTGGCAACAAAAACAAACTGCTGGCATAGGAAACAGTGTAGCCTCTGACTGTGATAGTGTGACTTATAATAAATACGTCTGGTCTTTATCTCCATTTTGTCACCACTTATGAACTTATAAATTGAGATTACAATGCATACAAGAGTACAACGTGTACAGTCATATGTCACATAACGACGGGGATCCCTTCTGAGAAATGCATGGATAGGATAGGTGATTTTGTCATTGTGCAATCATCACGGAGTGCATCACACGTGACATCTGGCATAGCCTACGACTGCGACTGCATGTGCTATATACATCTACATGACTGGCAGTGCAGTAGGTTTGCTTAAACACGTGCTATGATGGCTATGACGTCATTAGGCAATAGGAATTTTTCCACTTAATTATAATCTTATGGGACCATTGCCATACGAGGTTGACTGAAATGTTATTATGCAGTGCATGACTATATATAAATATGTATGCATGTTTTTCTTGATTTTTTTAAAGCTTTAGGACATAGTATGAATGCACTACAAATTATTTGAAAGCATGGTTTTTAAAGACTTACACAGTATTTTTTATATTACCATAATTGTTATTTTATTTTTAAAGAGGTTGTTTCTAATTTGTTATTATAAGTAATCTTTCAATGAATTTCTTTAATTATGAAATATTTTAATTATTTTCTTAAGAATAAATTTTATATTCTAAATGTGTACCATTTTATACTTTCAGTGGCATATCACACACACTGATAATTTGCAGTTAATTGTGAGTTTAAACATTTAAAAAGTTGTTTTAGCAATATGTTTTAGTTGGTGAATTCTGTTCATGTCTCATGCATGTTTTTCTATTGGGTTACAAGTATTTTTCTTTTATATTTTTAAAAACTTATATATGAATGGTCTCTGGCTGTTGTCATATTTATTAAAATAATTCTCTCCGTCTATTTCTTTTTTAAACATTTAAAAATGGCATTAAATATTTTAAAATTTTATATGCTTAAATCCATCAATATTTTCATTTGCAATTTCTTCCATTTCTTGTTTTGCTGAGATAGTTCTTTCTCATCTATTGGTTAAATATTCACCCATTAAGGAAATATTTCCTTCATTTTTTTTCCTTATTAATAATTTCCTTATTGTTGTTTTTATATTCTGGATATGAGTTCTTTTTTTTGGTTGTATTATAATATTTTCATCCACTTTTCATTCTCTTGATATCTTTTGATGTCAACCATTAATTTTAATGAAATCCAATTCACCTATCTTTTCATTATGATTATCGCTTTCTGTGTTCTGTTTAAGAAAGTCTTTCTTAATCAAGGACATGAAGATTTCCTCCTTGAAGCTCCATTGTTTTATATTTTGCATTTAGGTCTACAAGGCAACTTAAATTAATTTGCATGTATGGTGTGATATAAGAGTCGATCAAGGTTTATTTTTAAAATATGGACCCAAATGATCTAGTATCATTTGTTATAATTCTTTCCTTATTGAACTGCAATGGTGCCTTTGTTATAAATGAGGTGAGTATGAAATATGAGCTTGTTCCTGGACTTTTTTTTTTCATTGATCAAGTTGATTATTCTTATGTCAATTACATACTGTTTTAATTGCTTTATATCAAATCTTGATATCTGGTAGTATGATTTTTTCCCTTTATTCTTCAAAGATTTCCCACAGACTAAAGCATAAAGTAAAAACTACTTTGTATGATATACAAAGCTCTCTTTTTCAGAATTCAAGTTTTTATAAGTAACTACAGCGTTTAATACCTGCAATAGAAGGCATTCAATAAATACATGTTGATATGAATAAGGTTGGAATGTGACTTTTTATGAGTCCTCATAGTAACAAAACCAAAGTGAAACATTAGCACCACTACTCTGTGTCCTTACTATGAAACCAGAAGATACAGATCCTTATCATTAAGAGTTAATGCTACTTTTTTCAAATCTCATGGAATAGGGAAAGGCAAGCAACACGCCGATGGTGATACCATGCTTCTTGAAGTGCCCTTAAACAGATTACAACTCTCCTCCTGCCGAACGAAGTATGTCGGCAGCAGAGCACAGAAGGAAGAAGCGAGGGAGGGAACAAAGGGGAGTTTTCTCATAGAGGGGACTTTTGTCCCTTGCCTTCTTCCTAGCAGGGAATTTTTAGACTGCCTATGAGGGCTTCTCAGAGCACACTGATGCAGCACCCTCTGCACACCTAGTTTTAGAGTTCGATTTTCAAGAGGCTATTATAGCAGAAGAAAGGATGGCCGTGTATAAAGTTATCCAATCTATAGTCCTGCTAGCACTGCTTAAATTGCTTTGGCAGGAATGTCAGTGTACTTCATGGTTGGAAGGTCATTTTTGTTGTGTGTAGATAGTGAAAGCAATCATTTTCAAGTATGCTTGCCAAGTTTTACAATATAGAAAAGACTGCTTAACACTCTGCATTATGATTTGGTGCTATCTGATGAGAAGGCAAAAAAAGTCTCTCTAAACAGCATCAATATTTTGATTTTTGCAAGCACACATTTAACTCTAACTCGTCTTGTAAATACCTGAAATTTTGCCTTTTTCTGAGCCTCGAGAGCAATCCTTCTTAAATCCTCAGTCTCCTTCTGTAACTGCTCATTTT